GCACCAAGCCACCCACCTGATCGGCCTCCTTTGCCCTTCCTATAAGAATTGCCAACATATCAACCACAATGTTGAACAAAATAGGGGACATTGGATCACCTTGCCTCCGACCTTTGTGTGTCTGGAAATAATGATCTACATCATCATTCACTTTAATTCCAACACTCCCTTTTTGCGTGAAGGATTCTACCTGGCGTCGCCAAGCTTCATCAAAACCCTTCATGCGTAAGGCCTGTTGAAGGAAGGGCCATTTGACTTTGTCGTACGCTTTCTTGAAATCCACTTTGAAAACAACCTCATCTAGCTTTTTCGTGTGAATCTCATGGAGCGTTTCATGAAGGACCACAACCCCTTCAAGGATGTTCCTATTCGGCATTAAAGCAGTTTGGGTAGGCTGCACCACAGCATGCGCGATCTGTGTGAGCCTATTAGTCCCGACCTTGGTAAATATTTTGAAACTTACATTAAGAAGACAGATGGGCCTGAATTGCTCAATTCTCACAGCCTCTGTTTTCTCAGGGAGAAGGGTTATCGTTCCAAAATTCAGCTGAAAAAGCTGAAGCTGCCCAGCGAAGAAATCATTGAACATAGGCGACAGATCCCCTTTAATAATATGCCAGCACTTTTTATAGAACTCAGCTGGAAATCCATCGGGGCCTGGCGCCTTGTAATTTTTCATTTGCGATATGGCCTCAAACACCACTTTCTCAGAGAAAGGAGCCGCAAGAATATCATTCTCCACCGCAGTGAGCTGAGGAACATCCTCAAACCTGGACTCATCTAGAGACACACAGTTATCCTCTGGAGGTCCAAACAACTGCTGTCTTTGTGGATTTTGGGATTTTATTGTACTCTCCGTGGTGAAAAGAGGCACTCGCTACCTGTTATAAAATCGTTGCCAGCTCTTTATTATATGCTCTTTTTATTGTTTTCTCTCGTGTTAACTCGAATCAACTAATGTATAAAAACCCTCCATCTCATGGCTTTTTATACCCTAGCCCACCATGGGCATATTAGTAATAAGCCCATATTGGAAAGTTAAGGTGTCGTCGAAGATAAAAGTATTTATGTGGTTTGTGCATAAGGGTGTCATTCTTACTAAAGATAACTTAGCTAAGCGTAAGTGGGAAGGAAGTAAAAGATGCTGCTTTTGTGATCAGGATGAAAAATAGAGCATCTATTCATCAAATGTCCGCTTGCTAAATTACTTTGGAGAACTATTCACGTTACCTTCAACATAACTCCACCTCTCACGATATCACATTTGTTTGATAACTAGTTGGCTGGAGTGGAGCCAAAGTCTGCGGCACATATCCGAGTGGGAGCATGTGCATTACTTTGGTCTTTATGGAATTCTCGCAATGACGTTGCCTTTAACAGATAAACCATCACCAACTTTTTGCAGGTCATCTTCAGAGCGTCTACTTGGATCCGTACGTGGTCATTACTCAGCCATGCGGACCACAGGGAGCATATGGATATTGGGTGCAGCCGATGGGAGATGGTTGCACGGGATACATACAACCGGTTTGGATGGCGGTCCAATAATAGGATAGGAGTTTAGTCTCCTATTCTTTTTGGCGCCGGTTGTGGCTTTTATTTTTGGCCGCTTGTGGCTTTTCTTTGTTTGGTAAGACCTTTGTTTCATCTTGAGACTTCTTGTTGGAACCTGAAGGAAACTTTATTTTAATAAATGGCTGTGTGCATCAAGAGATGTAGAGGCCGGGGGTATGCCTCCTTTTCGGAAAAAAATAAAAAAACATTCTGATATGTTGCAAAGGTTTCATGCCATATTACTAATGCCATTAATTACTGTTTATCTAACTCATACAAATTGGGTGCATAACGCACATGGGTTAATGTTTCTTGGCACCAAGGTAGTCAGAATCCCGATTCGACTGCTAGAATCCTACGACTTCACGACCCTACATAAGCATGTCGATCCAAATCCCACTATGAATCCGGATCAGGTAGAATCCATGTTGGGTCGCGATCCAAATCATAGAATCCTGTACAAAACTGTAGAATCCCGACTATGCTATGGACTATATCCGATTCTACTAACTTATCAAAGCCGTTTGTTTAGTTGTAGCAAAATAGTATGTCATCATCCAAACCCCTTTCATATACCTCATAGGCCTTTATTCCCCTCCCAAGTCCAAACGCTCAGCCGTAGACACCTTTGATCTAGCTCTCAGAAACCCAAGATCGAAGTTGAGGATCAGGCTGGTCGACATATGGAATTGGCGTGAAAAGGAGGATGCTTCAAAATTGATCGGAGAAGGAGATCAAGACCCTTCAAGGTTTAGCACTGTAGGTCAGATAGACAAGTGATCGACTATTCCCGCACTCTAAAAAGAACATAAGTATATTTCGTGCATTGAAGGTTTAAATGTTCTACATATTTCCCTCTGATATATGTTCCATACATGCAAGCTAGATGGTAGGTTAGCCATAAAAAGAAGTGGAATACAACTAGCATTGATGTGTACGTTCTTTGCTCCATATTTCATGTCAAAACTCTCTAGAACCCATATAAATATCTTGTGTGCATACAAAATATCTTATTCGAGTAAATCAAGTAGAATCCTCGATTCCACGACTCGATCTTATGACTCGATTCTGTCCGAGGAAAACCGATCCGAC